CAGCATGAGGAAAGAGGCTTATCTTCCGAGGCTGTAGAGAAGGAGCCCTTGTCTTCCATATTCTGCTGAAATCAAACAGGGGGTCATGCACTATCAGCTGCCTCTAACACTGTTTTGTGACCACAGTGGGATCCAACTAAGAACAAGGCCCACCATGAGGGTGGCACAGCAGAGAAGGGGACTGTCACAGGTCTTTAGTGAGACCATCAAGGCTGACCCCCAGACTCCTATCTCAGGATTCCCTTTTTGTTATTTTTATTACAGTCTTTAGTGGATTTGTAGCTCAGGCTTTATTTCTCATCTCCAGTGATTCTTAAGATGGGAGGGACATCCTTGGGAGCTGAGAGATGAGTTTAGAAGATATAGGACAGGGCAGTGTGAGATCGTAGTTCCCTTTCTGATTCTCTCTCATGGTTCTTATTCAAGGACAAAGTCCCTGTTTGGTGTTAGTCAGCCCCTTTGACACTTGAGACACTTGCTAATCTCCGGAGTGAAGGGCATAGACTTCAAGCTCAGAGACCAGGCTCCAAGAGTATCTACTTAGAATTTGGTACCATTGGGACCAGCAGTTAGCATAGTGGCTGTGTCACTGGACTCCCACGTGGTCGACCACGGTTCGCGCCCCGGACCCAGTGGTTTAAAACTCACACCGGGCGCATGTGCATGCATGCCCAAGATCCCGAGAGGAGAATGGAGGAGAAGGGATTGCGGCATGGCCCACCCCATTGTGGGGGGCGGTGATTTCTAGCTTTCTGTCTCTCTGTCTGTCTGGCGAGTGCACGTGCCTAAAAGCAAAAACAAAAAACCTCTCCAAGAAAAAAAAAAAAAGAACTTGGTACCATTATTTCATTTTATCTGTCTTTATTTTCTGGATTAATCTAGATTTATGGCAAGTGATATTAGCTTTTTTTATTGGTGATACTATGTTTCTTTTTAACCATTTAAGATTATAAAAAGTGACCTGACTTTATTCTCAAAGGGAAAATGCAATTAAAACTTAGTCATACTTGGTACTAGCAGTTAGCATAATGGCTATGTCGCTGAACCCCCATGTAGTTGACCGCGGTTCGAGTCCTGGACCCGGTGGCTTAAACTCACACTGGGAGTGTGTGTGTGCGTGCCTAAGATCTTGAGAGGAGAATGGAGGCTAAGGGATTGCAGTGTGGCCATTCCCCCTGGGGGGTGATTTCTTGCTCTCTGTCTCTCTGCCTCTCTCTGTGTCTTTGGCAAGCAACACATGCGCCCTATAGCAAAAACCTCTTAAAAAAAAAAAAAAAACACTTAGTCATACCCAAAATAAAGGTTAGTTGATTAAAACAAATATTAAGTAGGTGGCAATTCAGTTGTGGATCAGGGGAGTAAAAAACCATGATGGTGCCAAGCGATGGCTGAAATTTAGAAGCGATCAAAGTGGGCAAATGCCTTCATTGTACAGTGGATAGACTGAGGCCCAGCCTGGCTTGGAAAGGCATTTCTCCCAAAGCCTCACAGATGCTAAGGCCCAGCCCCAGCCTTTCGGTCCTCTCTTCTCCCCACTGAACCCTTGTTCTCCCTCAAGTACCCCCGATTTCCCTTGTGGTCCCCAACACTCACCTGCTCTGCATTCCCCAACTCCCATCTGGGTCAAGCCCACCTGAGGGGCTGCCGAAGTCTCTCTCCTGTAGGGCCCAGCTGAAAACTGAAGCCCAGACTACCCTAATTCCTGCCAATGTCAACACTTGACTGGGATTCCTTCCCCCACCCCCACCCACTCTACTTGCAGGGAACACTCTCCGAGTGCCAGCTGCCAGCCTGGCACCGAGCCGGGCAGACGAGCTGCATGTTCATAGGAGTTTTCTGTACCACAACCACACAGGAATGGAACGGCAACTTCACAGCCATTGCAGAGAAAGGCTGCAGGCTTGTGCCAGTGCCAGGCCCAAAGGAACTGCCCAGGGACGGATGCCGAATGACTGAATGAGCAAATGGATGGGTGAGCGTGCTGTGCCTCGTGGGTAATGGCTCGTGAGACCACCTTTCCTCCTGTCTCCTGCCTGTGCTGGGTCTGCAGGCCTCCAGGTGTGGTAGGCCCCCGAACCAGGCCACAGGGCCCTGTCTGGAACTGCAGTCTATGAGGGGGGTCTCTGCCCCCCTCTGTCCTTGTTTAGCTCTAGCTCTCTGGATCTTTTGCTTTCTCCCTTTTGCCTTTCTTCACTCTTTCTTTCTGTCTCTCTTTCCGCTATCCCCCTTAGGGTGGAGATTTCTCAATTCTCCTCTGTCTCTGTCTCTCCTTATCTCTCTCCTTCCTCCCTCTCTCTCTGTTTCTGTCTCTCCATCTCTCTCCTTCTCTCTCCTCCTCTCCCCTGTCCTGGGAAGAAAGCTAAGGAACACTTCATCTCTCAGCTCCCAGCTGGGGCTTGGCTGCCCCCATAAGAACTGAATGAGATTTCAGATCCGCATGGGCCCAGCTGGGGCCCCTCTGAGCTGGTGCTTTGTTCTGTCCCTGGGGGAGGGTCAGGGTCTCAGTGCCGGGCCAGGAGGTGCCGTTTACAGCATCACTCAGCAGGGGCAGCCGGGGGTCTCTTCCAAGCTTTGTCCAGGGGCTAATTAAGAGCTTGGATTACCCAGGCTGGCAGGAATGGGACCTGCCGCCCTACCCCTGTGTTCCTCCTGTAGGAGGGACCCCACTTAACCCCCTCCTCTCTGGGCTTCAGCAGAGGTCAGCCTACTGGGCTGGGCTAGGCTGAGCTGGGCTTTCCCTGGAAGTGACAAAGGCTGATTTAATAATTTTCCTGGAATCAGTGTCCTGTCCAGCTGCCCCCATCCTAAAGAAACAAACGTTTTGCCCATTGTTTCTGACCTTCTCAGACACGTACCATGTCCCTGAGGCTGCAGTGCCTCTGGGAAGCTCCACGCTCTGATCAGCAGACAGGGGAGTGGCCTGGCATCTCCACTAGAAGATGGCAGAGCTTGGACCCCCCACAACCCACCCAGGTCACACCCAGCCCCACGGAGCCCTACCCAGCAGAGCCCTAGTGATTTGGAAGTGACATTCCACACCCCCAGCTGTGTGTGATGAAAAGTCCCTTTTACCCAAGGGTGAGAGCTGTGGTGATCCCAAAATAGCCCCAAGGAGCTGCCCGCCACCCCAGGAAT